CATTTGATCGCTCCCCTATATATATATATATATATATATACATATACATATACATATTTAAAAGGTTTTATAGTTACCATTATTTCATTGATTGAACTCACTAGGCATAAGCCTAACACTTCTTCTTGATATGGCTTGCATATCAGGTTCCTTTAGCGGCGGAGCTCAAAAGGGTTGAGAGAAGCGTTGATTCGTGAAAGGCTCTTTTGTAATTATAGCCTTTGTTACTTTTTGAGCGTTGCGTTTTGATGTTACGATATTTTTTTTTGGAGATTGATAAAAACACCCATCTTTAATCTAGATATAGAATAATCTAGATTAGTATGTTGTTATTTATCTTCTCAGTAGCTGAATTGTAAACGCTATACTATCACCTTTTGTTGGGTAAATTTTAATTCAAGATTCTGGTTCTCGTTAAATGTTTTCGGTTTAAATTATCCTTATTTTCTTAGGGTGTTACACCATAAAAAATAGAATAAATGAAAAATAAATTATTATTTATCAACAATTTTATATTATCTTAAATTTGTCTTTTTCCCTTAAATGTTGCTATTATCATCAAAGATTTTTTATGTCGATGCATGTGTTGTGTATAATGATGTGACAGTGTTATGATAATGATATGATTTTATCAGTGGCAGAAGGCCATATAGGCCTCTAGGGGCCATGGCCCCGGGGCTTTTTGATTCATTAAGTATCTATAGTTCTATATTATATTAATAACCATTTAAACTAAAGTCTTAAGTACAAACCTTTAGGCACAAATTACAACCATTTTATGTAAGAATTTCAAAAATCTCTTAATTGCAACTCATAAAGCATGATGTACAAGTTTTTATGCATTGACTAAAACTACAATGATAAGACATTGCTTTCTTCTCTTCTCTTCCTTTTCCAGCATTTCCTTCCACCAAGACCTGTTCTTCTTCCTTTTCCAGCTTCCCTGTGCACCTTCTTCCTTTTCCAATGCGCTAGAACCAATTCAGTAAGGTCAGTTGCTGCAACCTTTGCACAAATTGGCGTACGAAAACCATAACCCTTCGCATAGCAAGCCTCTTATATTCGACTTTGATTTAAGCCTCGAGGTAGCGTACAAAAACCCTAACCCTTGATTTATGATCTCGAGTCAGTATCTTATGTATGCCTATGGATGCAATATCTTATGTATGTCCATCTACCCCTCAATGGAACATCAATAGACCTTTCCTCACTGGCCAATTCCATCAGGTTTCTCTTTTCTCTTATTATTATAGATGATTGAAGACTCAATCGTCTATGTTTTTTTTGTG